AGCGGTTGGTATGATTAAAAGTATCATACCACCGTATCCACCAACATCATCCTCAAATTCCCCTTGGGATCCCCCTCCGGCGGCCTAACCTTCTCAAACACCGCCGGCAGAACCTCTGCAATCCCAACCCCAGTCTTCGCACTCTCACCGCATCTTTACAGTCCAACTCAAACACGTCCTCCATCTGCCCCAACGCCCTCTCCACATCCGCCGTAGGCAAATCAACTTTACTCACCACCGGCACCAGACTCAACCCCTGCGCAAACGTCTGCGCCTGAACCCCCTGACTCGCATCCACCAACAAGATCGCCCCGCCACAACTGGCATATGACCTGGTAACCTCCGCACGGAAATCAACATGCCCAGGCGTGTCGACAAGATGCAACAGGTAATCCAGCCCGTCTTCGTGGTAGTTGTAAATCATGGTGCACGTCTGCGCTTTTACTGTTATGCCTCGCTCGCGCTCGACGTCGAGTTTGTCGAGGACCTGTCTGGATGTTATTTCTGTTCAGCTGTCATACAAAACAGAACCTAGATCGGCAAGATCATAGTATATATTTCTTGCGGATGTCTTACTTGTCACGCATGCCACTCTCTGCCCCACACTTGTCGTCAGGGCAGAGTATATAGACTGATGCCACTGCGTCTTTATGGAACGGACTGCTCTGTCTGCTTTGATGGATGCACAGTTGGAAATCAGATCTTTACATCGAGGTGTGGTACGTGATGAGGTGGATATTTAACGGACACAGAACTTTGCTAACACTTCAAGCTCATGTGCTATGTGGTTCTTGTCCTGGCGGTTGGGAGAGAATGAGGTATAACCGGTGCCCATCATGTAACGTACGAGCGAAAAAACGGGAATTTCTTGCGGTTAACTTCTCTTACCGGGGGGGCATGTAAATTACTTTTTAAAGATCGAGCTAGATGCATGAGTTGTATTTAATATAGGTAGATAATTAATATTATTCTGCATTTACCCAAAACAAAGCTTTAGGTCATCCAATTAATCCCAGCACAAGTAAGACTTTATGTTAAGGAGGGCGGCACATATATACTGTGGTAAGTAGATAGGATTTGGACCCCATATCCTGGGTATTAACATACAGTCCTGTTCCCAGACGGCAATCAAGACTTTTTTTCTTCCACAATTTGTAGCCTTGCTGAGAAATTCTGCCATGTCGCAAAGCCCTGCGCAGCCTGGCGTAAGTTTCATTGGCATGATCCTTCAGCACACGCTGCTTATATTTCTTCTTTATCATATGAGACAGCTCCCATGATGATTTGACTGTAGTAACTAAGCCTGCGAGAGCGGCAGCTGATGCGAAGGAACTAGGAAGGTATTCGAACCTAAGCTGGCTAATTTGGACATTTCGATACTAAACACATTTTTTCCAAGCTGAAATTGACAGGGGGGTAGGGTAAAAGAGGCAGTGCTGCTCCTAACTACAGACCCCACCCAAGTCCAAAAGCGGCAATACATTTCCCGTGACTGGGAAGAACATGTAGAGTTAGAGGGGTCAGATGTACACGATAGATATAACGCCTAAGTCGTAATTCAGCTTTGCGCAAGTGGGTGTTACGTCTATCCAATCTTATCCTCGCACTCTTCTTACACTCCGGCAAATACTTGCCTCAACCCCTCGATAGTATTTACGATAGTTCCGTTAATTAGTTCCAGTTATTATAGACTGTTGGATGATGCTATATCGGGATTGGGATAGTACCAGCAGGCAATTACTGTAATGGCATAAACGATCTAGTATACATATTAAACTCGCTAAAATTTATCTTAGCAACAGCCACTCACCACAAGAAGAGCACCCTCGAGCCAGTTGGACTCCCTATCTCGCAAGAAATTACTTATTACTAAGATCGACAAAACAAGCAACCCGATTATAAATATCTTAAAATTAAGATCCATAGGCTTGCCCAAAGTCCATCCAACGATAACTACCAGTAGGCCATTAAAGAGCGCTGTCTAGATAAAAGGTCCTAGGTAGTAATATAGCGTAATATTAATTATACTATTTATTATTATTATTAGTATTAAACACTATAAACGTATATTACTACACTTACCCCAAACCTCGTTAATTACAATCAAATACTCCGCTATTTTTTTAACTAATAATAATAAAATTAAATCTAAAAACTAATCCGGCACTCCGCTATACACTATATATTTAATTTTATCGATTAAAAATATTAATAAAGCCATAATATATACTAATAATAAAAATAAAACTATTACCGCTTCGGTAATAATAAACTTTAGTTTCTCTATATCTATTTCCCGATCGGCATCCCTATACTTATCCGCCTCGATTACCTCGTTAAAAATACTATATTAATTACTTACGTAGTACTAAATATATATAAAAAAGCTTAAAATTAATATAATAAACGTCGCCCTACTAATTTAAAAAATATTATTTTCTAATTTCCCTAATATAAAATTATTACTATACTTTAAAAGTATAATAACTTTTACTCCCTCCCTAATTACTACCTTTACTATTTTCGCCTCCGACTTAAATATAGAGTAAAACGCGCTAAAGATTAAAAACCTAAACGCGATTATAAATAATAACCCGCTTTTAACCTTTAATATAATTACGTAAAACCTCTAATTAATATATTTTATCCCGCCGACGAAAAAGTAAACTCCTAAATATAAAAGTAAGTTAATAAAAATACTCCCTAAAATCGCCGTCTAAATAATAGAGACTATATTCCCCCCTTCCTTTTTCTTATTATAATTAATAATTAAAATTATAAAGAGAATAATCTTTACGATCGAACTAAATATTATTTCGATTAAAATTCTAATAACTTTAAATATCTTTCTCGTAAGTTTTTATCCGGTAAAACCGAGGAGGTTAATAGAGGGGATTATACTTATATAGCTTAGGGCGAAGGTCTATAGTAAGTAGGAGTAAGAAAAGAAAATATAAAAAATAAAAGCGGCGATAACGAAAGGGAAAAGGAGGTTAACGAAGCTAAAGATAGGGGACGAGCTACATTAAAGGACGAAGAAGAAGTAAGAAAAGTAAAAGCTTATACGGCTAAATTTACTTTTATAAAGGATAGGGAAGAGAGTTAGGGTACGGTAATAATAATTATAATTATAATTATAATAAAGGATAAAGGGAACGGTTTTATTATTAGTAACTTCGGCTAAATTAATATTATTTATTTAAGGAATTATTATAATAAAGACGTTAATTAAATATAGCCGATAATCTTTAAACCGTTTTTATCGAGATATTTAATAAAATTAGGGATTTAGTTTATTACGTAGTAGTATTAATATTTAAAGAGGGGTTTTAACGCTAATTAATTATTAATTTTAGGTTCCGGCAAGTAAGGTTATAAAATAACTAATAATTATACTATTTTATTTTAAATATATTAAATTAATAATAATAAATATTCCCGTCCGAAATATAACCCGTACACAATATTCCTCCGAATATTCGATTTATTATCTAACCCTCGGAGGATACTATTACGGCCCAATTCCGATCCCTCCGGGAAGGTCCCCGCAGCTATTTATAGACCGTAATACCGTTACTAGGTACCTTACTTTAATAATATAACTTTAAGTAAGTAATTACGCGTTACTTAAATTTACCGTAACGATTTAAAACTTTAAGTTCGATAACTTTTAATTTTTATATTTTTTAAGTTTATTAGTTTAGAAAGCCTTTAAGCGGCTTAATTTTTAACTTACCTAACCTTACGTAAGTTACTAAATACCTTACTCACAAAATCTCTAAATCGACCGGATAGTTCCGCCGATACTTAGGTCTATTTTAATTATTATAGCCGACCCGTCTTTCGAAATTATTTAGGTCTATCCGGATACCCTTAAAGGCTATTTAAATTAACGTTAAAGTTTTATAATTAAAGTTCGAGTAAAAGTATATAATTTAATTAATTTAAAGGATATATACCCTCGTCCCTTAATACTCCTTTCTTTCTTTAATATCCGCTTATCTATCTTACGAATATCTACTTTCTACTTACAGGCTTATAAGTAAGTCTTTTACTTTTCTATTTTCTTTCCCAGGCTTCTAAAAAGCTTATTTTTAAACTATACTCTTTTATATTTAACTTTTAATAAATCAATACACAATTAAATATAATTAAAATAAAATATATAACCGCTTTTATCGCTACCCTAAGCCTCGCTATCACGGTTTTTACTATTAATCCCGTAATTAATAACCGCCGTTATATAATTAATAAAAAGTTTATTCCTATTTTAATACCGGAAAATATAAAACGTAATACCGCCTACTAATAGGGAAATAAGCGTATCGAACCTCGCTCGCTAACCCGGTTCGCTAACCCTTTTAAAAGTAATAAAGAACTAAGTATTAAAGTCGAACCTAACGTCGAAAATAAAAAAAGCCTTAAAAACGAATCAAATAACTATAGCTTTAAAAACCAGGTTACCGACGCCGCGTAGGACGTTAACTTAAATTATTTCGAAAATAAAATTAATATTAAGCTACTTAATAAACTACGATCCGGTTTTAATATTAACTTTATAAGGAGGAATAAAAAGCAGAGTATAATCGAAGTACGAGTAAAGTTAAAAAGTAATAGAGGGAAGAGTAACGGTAGTAGCTTTAGCGGTTAGTTTATAAATACTAATAAAGATTTTACTATTAAAGAAGGAACAGTATTCGTCGAGGATTAAACAGGCATTAATTTACCGGATAGAAATAGGTAGTTTAGCTCTAGAAACTTAGGCGGTAATTAAACGAATTAGCGTCCCTAGAAGCTTAGTAAGTGGGAGATTACCGTTAATAAAGTTATTAAAGAGGTATTAAATTAAATAAAAAAGGGAGAGTTTAAGTTTAATATTAAAACTACCGACGCCCTAAAAGAAATTATTAAGGAGGCTACTAAAAACGATAAAAATAAATCCATTAGCAATATAATAAAGACCTTAGCGGAAACTAATAACAATAACGACTCCGAATTTAAAGAAAAATTAATTAATATTATCGAGGAGATCCTTAGTAATTCTTTTAATAAAAAAAACGAAAATAAAAATATCCTTATAGAAATTATCGAGGATATTATTAATAGGGATTCCTCCAATAATAAATTATCCTACAGCAATACCCTCGAAGAGAAACTAAAAAAACTCGAGAAAGAGACCTCTACCCTCGATAAAGACGACCCTAAAGCCGAGATAATTAACGAACTAATTAATAAACTTATTAACGAAGCTATTACCTTAAACGAAATTCCGGTAAAGTATTTTTAATATTAAATAGCGATTTAAAGTTACTTTAACCCTATCCACTTACTAACCACGAAGGGCCTAATAGCTAATTATCTTTTACGTTACAGTACTACCCCAATAATTATAACGCCAACTAAAACCATTAAAAGAGAAGAAGC